TGTAAAGTAGGGATGCACCAATACAGATATTTGTACCAAAGATCTTTAATTTCCTTAAACTGGGTATATTAAGGCCATTTACAGGTTGATTTTGTTTGAACTTTCATTCATACAAAGCTGTTCAGTAGTTATTTGAAGAATAAGGATGTCTTGTGTAATAAGTTAACCATTTTAAGTAAATAAATGCCATTTTCTATCCTTATATCAGAAGTGAAAAAGCTGAATCGGTGCATCCTTCTTCTACAGTCCCATTTATTTCATCAATGACTCAGACTTTCACAACCTAAGAGCAGCCAAGCAAAAGAAACATGTAATATAATGTAGTGGTAACTGACCCCAAACTGACCCGGGAATGGTGTTATTATGATTTTATTCACTGTTTACAGAGTACAAAAATATAGTTTTACTTGGCATTTCACTTGTCATATTATAGCCCATATGAAACTCTGGTCCTTCATAGGGAGTACCGGTATTTGAATTGCGGCACTAGCCACTCAAGGTTTTCTCAATGTATCTTTAGCTGTGGCCAGAATCAACCAAAGACATTTATCCCACTCATGAGATAAGTGCTATTCGTGACTTGAGCACGTTTGGATCGGACAGAATAAGCAGCTTTAGCAGCGTCCATATCACTAAGAATGGTTCAGTGATAACTCCTCACCGGCCCCAGAAATACAGTCACACCAAAACCAATGAGTGCCTTTAGGGCTCGACTCCTCTTGGTTTGCTATATTGGACTCTCATGTCCTCGCCTCACACTTTTAGTAAGGAGGAGCATGCATGTGTTGGTGAATAGTTTGAATTTGTCCACACACTGGGTACACATACATATGGTAACTTATAAGAGAACCCAATAATTAGAGCTGATTTTTCATATATATCAATCTTTAACATACTTTGTTCAGTGTTTTGTCTTTACTCCATTAGGTTGTGTTTTTTGCATTACTTTATTTGTCAAAAGCAACATAGATCTGAATAATCAAAAAAAAAGATTACTCAGATCAGATGACATTTCAACCTAGTAACTCTAGAAATCAGAAAATGAAAAGATTTCTGGGGAACAGTACCCTAAAGAACAGCAGGGCAGTAAAAGGAGCCAACACCTGATGATTTATGATAATCTATATAGAGCAAGGAAAATTTATACTGATTAAAACAGAAATGGGATGAATAAGGATTAAATATGATTTAATCTACTGTTATATGCTCAAAATTGTTAATTTTGGTTGGTTTTGATTCACTGTTGCCATATGGGGCTCACAGAGTATCTCTTGAGTATATCTTGGTTAGTCATTAGCAGATGCAAATAGATTTATTTCATAAACCAATTACTACTTAATAATAATCTATATTTGTGTAACAAAGAGCTATGGAGTAACTAAGTGTCAGAATCTGTTTTGGCCTCCAGCCGGCTGTCTGCGTAGTCACAATGTTCTGGGCGACACCCGCACGGTGCATACATTGTGTTAACCTCCAGTCACAGCTGTGGTGGAGCTTTTTATAGAATAGACTGTTTAAAAAAGTGAGTAATGCACCAAGATGAAAGTCTGTTGTTTGTCTGCTGCGCTGGCAACCATCTCAACTGTGTCAGATTTCATGTACAGTATACAATGACTGTAAAAAATCATGTATACAATATTTTCTGTACAACTAGGATCATACTAAAACTTACCAGTGCAACATTCACAATGTGTCGAATACTGGGAATACATACACCAGAATTTAGGACGAGGAGTTCACCGTAAATTCCCATAATGAAGAAAGCACAAGCTTTTAAATGTAATGGTCCTGGGTCCAGCCCGACGGCACACCCTCACAGAGCGGCAGGTACAGGCAGGGCTCAAACTACACCCAGAATAAACAGCATTATTATACATCATGAAATAGACCCATTATACCACTTACTCTGCTTTGATTGGGATAATAAGATCTAACAAGTCATTAGCTGCACCAAAATAAATCTGAAAATGAGAGTTAAATTTGATTTCATAAGCAAGAAATCTGCTCTCTGTATATTTATATCATCAAACAACTCAGGCCCCAAATCACAAGCAATAACTGAAGAATCAGAGCAGACCTGTTTGAATTGGACCCCAGCCGTATCCTGTATACAAGTGCTTTTGAAAAGAACATGTTTAAATCCTAGTGTAAGAGTGATACCTTAAACACAAACAGTGAGTAGAATTACTGACAAGACTTAGTTTTGAGTCAAGTTTCAACTGCAGACTTTTGCAGGCCTGCAAGGCAAAGTAGCCTGAGATATAAATTACCCTTAATTGTGACACAAACAAAAGTATCTCATAAAATATTATAATGCAGTGCACCATAATCTTGTGTGAATGAGATGAACCTGTCAAGGAAGACAAGATGGCTGCAGTGGATTTGGGTTGTTTTCGTTTCTCAGGTCAGTCAAGCTTCTAACCTTTTCCAAAGGCACCCTATAATTGTATCAAGGAGGTCCATTCATAAAGCTCCAAATGGCTCTTAGTGGCGAATTCGGTTTATTAAAATACTCAGTCTACGCCAGTGTCATTTCCCTGCTTCAGGACACTATGTTTAGCCTGCTTTCCCGCTTCAGGCACAAAAACATGTAATTACTTTTGTCAACTACTTCGCACATAGTTGTCACACCAAGAGCAGGATTTGAATGATAACACACACTCAATGGATAGCAAGAATTCTTGTCATAGCAATCTGCAAACAACAAGCAACTAGGAAAAAGTTACACTGAAAAAATAAATGACTATCTCTTTAAAAAATGAAAAAAAAAAAAAAAAAAAAAACCTACAAAAAAACAACAAAAAACAAAAAAAAACCTGTCAGACAGTTTGAAAAGGCACCAAACGTGATGTGAAAAACAGAGCTGGCTTCCTTCCCTGCAGTTAATTAAAGCCACAGGGCACTGACTCATGTCTGGGGCGTCCTAATAATGTGGGGCCCAAAACAATGCTTAGAGCGGACCCTTCCTAGAGACACCCTGCCCAGCAGAGAGAGGGGGGACTGAAGACCTTTAATATATGTTTACGAATCAGCACAGCACTTTCAGCTCAATACAAAGTGCAGCTCATCTCTCACACTGTGTCTGCTGATGGAGCATCAGTCTTAATACACACATGCTTAGGAGGCAATAGCATGGGTGCCCTCTGCACAGAGGCACTCATCTGCAACAGGCCAAACACAGCCAGGCCTGAGGAAGTCCGGGCTTTTCCAAATGACACACTGCACTGACCACTGCGGCCCTTTATACACCCAGCGTCACTTTGTGGCACAGCTTGGATCTGGCATTCTGTGCACAAAGTACTATCTCCAATCCACACAACCGTCCACAAATTTAAACATTATAATAAGAGCATATAAATTAAACGCTTTCTTAGAGCAATGAGTGCAGAGACTGTAACAATTTGTTGCAACAGTACAAAATACTAATGTGAGCAACTGGTTTTCCCAGAATGAATTAGCTTAATATAATGCGTAGTCTGCAAGCATGAGCTAGGAATAGTAAAGTTGAACACAGTACATTTCAATTAACTAATTTTGTGACCTCAAATAAGTGAATCTGCTGTACACATGCACATGATATTCTATTTCCATCACACACTCCATGAGCTTCCCTACAACAGGAGGCCAAGCAACTCCACTGTAATACTGCCCAAAGGTTGTTTGACTCTGTTTCCTTTTATGCTTGTGTTTATATTGTGTTTATTTGTACATGCAAACACCTCTCTGCTTACACTGACCAAAGCCAAACTTCACCATAAAAAGGAAGGTCCAAGGTTACTCTCCAATGAGCATGGAGAGATTACTGTGCCAAGAAAGATTCAATCCATAACAACATGGCATTCTTCTCATGCACTGATACAGCAACCATAGGTCAGGGTGTACCTCACTCCTGCCCTCTAGTGTGTGACAGTTGCATTACATTTTCTCGCAACCAAACCACAACCCCAACAACTCTCACAGCCAATGCATCAAAGGCGGCATCTGCAACAGAGTGAGACATCTCCCTGTGAGGAGGAACTATGTTTGACTGGATAATTTAAAGTTTACAAACACAAACAATGCTTACTGACTGTGTGCACAGGCCAAAATTATAGATCAAACCGTTTCCATGGTCATTAAAACCTGGATGAAAATAGCCAACCTGGTGAATGTATTTCACCACAAGTGCCAAAGTAGAGTAAAAATAAAGCTTGACACATAATCTTTCTAAAAAGAGAAAAAACATCCTGAAAAGGGTCCTCAATTATTGTGCGGTATTTTCACAAACATCATTTCAAAAATTACAGCTTTAATACAACATTGAAATCAACACCTACAAATGTTTACAGAAAATATAAGTGCATGTAGGTATACATTTGAGTCTGTGTAAAAAAAAATAATAACAATGTGACATTCAAATGCTGCTGTTTTGGGGAGAATGTTTTACAGTTGCACAATTGTGAGTAATTTATGAATTGAATATTTAAAACAAATGTGGACCCAATGCACTGCTGTCTTTTCTAAAACCAATCTTAGCATTAGACACATTTACTACTTACTTTTTGTAGGCTACAGCTCAGCTCGACCAAGCCACTACAGTCACAACCTGGTCTTTAGAAACCTGAATCTGAGGTCCAGCTGATTTTAAATAAGTCATTGTGTTGACAAGGGCATGGGATTTATGCAGCGTGAGGGCACCAAAGGCAAACTGTTCACTATAATGGGATATGCTCTCTACAAAAAAAAAAAAAAAAGCAAATCTCATTCATTAGAAGAGGGCTCTAACTGATTAAATTAATATGGCTGTATTAAAAAAAAGACAAAAATCAAGTAACTTATGGCAACTTTAAACACAGGAGCAGGACTGTCACTCTGCAGTCAGGCCTCCTGAGGACATGGGCCCCGTCATTAAAGATGACATCAGACTGGGAGGGCCCTCCACGTGCAGCGTGCAGCTCCATGCTGGGGACTGGCGCTGTATAAAAAGCCAGAGCCCAATGCCCTGAGAAGAGCAGCTGAGGCCCCACACTTTAAGGATATAAGAGCCTTGCTTGGACAGCAGCCTTCAGCCTGACCCTTCCTCTGAAGCCTAAACCAACGGTAAGACTAACCTCTGCACTGACTGACACCTGCTGTACTTTGCATCACTGCAGCATCTCGCAAGGAACTGTACACTTACTAAGGTCTCAAGGACAGACAGTCTACTGCGATCTGTGTAAATGCAGTTTCCTTACAATGCTTTTATTTATTATTAAGTTGTTTTTTAAATTTTATTTATAATGCATTTTCTGCAGGTTTAGCTTCACAAAAATGGACCTGAGGGTAGCAAGCTTTCTCCTGGTCCTCTTGGCTGTGGCAGTGGCCACCCCAGACCGCTACTACCATGTCCCCAAGGTGGCCAAGGCTCCATACCCTTCGAAGAGCCAGGCGCCCGTGAAGAGCCAACGTAAGTCTTTTAAGCCTTTTTTCTTTTTTTAATTAATGCCATTTTTTTAGATACACATAAATTATATATATTATAATGTGATCACCAGGAAGTTGTAATATTACATGACAAAAAATATTGTGAAGAAGAAATAGTAGGAAGAAATATTAAAATGAAAAAAAAATTGCAAAACTTTGCAAAAAGCATCACTCATGCAGGTGCATGAGGATTATTATCATTACAAATAATTTTCCATCATTACTACTGTTAAGCTGCATATGCAGGGACCCTGCTACCTGCTCATTGGCTCTGGTTAAATTGCTGTAATGTGTGAGTAAATGAAGGGCTAGCAGTTAAACTCCCAGTTTTACTGCTAGCCCTTTCCCCATTTGTCCAGATGACAGGAGGTGCCAGGCTATTACCACCACTCAAATCTGTGGCACGCACATTTGGTGTTTTTCTTTGTTTACGTAAATACTGTAATGTGGTTTGACTGCTTGTCTCCACATAAACGCTATAAAAGCTTGGATTTGACAGAACTGCCCAACAGATGAAACCACATCACAGACACGCCCTGTAACTGCTCCTTGTTTGTGCTGAAGTCCTTCCTGTGAGGAAAAAAATAAAGCTACATTTTAAGAGGTCACTAAGTGTAGCAGTGAACAGGAAGATGTCTGATAACAGGTAACGTTTTAGAAAGCCATGAAATGGCTGTGTGTGACAGCGGAGGACAGGTGAAGCCCAGTGTAAACAGGGTGCACGTGGTTGGGAGTAGTGAGCAGGCACCTCCTCTCTGTCACTGTGCTGAAAGAGTCTGCCAGAGCGGCAGTCTGCCACATTGACTTTTGATGAGGTTTGAGCTCAGCCCCATGTGGCTTGATAATGATAGCCCTGAGACACAGCATACGCCTCACAGGCAATAAATCTGACATGAGAACTGACAACTGTGACATCATTATAATGTTGTGTGGATGCACATCCATAGATTTAGATGATCCATTAAATAAAATACAGTTCAAAAAGATCAAAGCGAACTCCATTACCTCCACATTTGAATTCATATAAAAATTAAAAGTTAAAGTTAGAGACACAATTGCTCTTTAGAGCATAATGCAAATTGCATGAGAAAAACAAACAGCATATATTTGGTGAAATATAACTATAGTAAAAGTGATTGTATATTAATGAGCACATGCATGTTTTCCAGCAGCTGAACAAGGACCTCCAGGTCCACCAGGAGAGCCAGGCCCTATGGGGCCCCCAGGAGCCCCTGGTAAGAATGGTGTTGGATTTACCGGACCTCAAGGCCCCCCTGGCCCTGCTGGCCCTCCTGGATACAGCCAACCTGGAAAACCTGGCACCCCCGGTTCCCCTGGCAAACCTGGAGCAACTGGTTACCCTGGTGAAAAAAGGCGCCCCTGGATCCACTGGACCAATGGGCCCACGAGGAGCACCTGGAGCACCTGGAACACCTGGACCTGCTGGACTCTCATCTGTCGGCAAACCTGGTCCTTCTGGTATTCCAGGATCTATGGGACCAAGGGGCGAGCCTGGTCTTAAAGGACACCCTGGTGTTCCTGGACTTCCTGGTCCCAAAGGAGATAGAGGTATCGGAGTTCCCGGTGTTCAGGGACCCTCTGGCCCAGTTGGACCCATGGGCCCAGCAGGAATGCCTGGCAAACCAGGAATAGGTAAACCCGGTGCCACAGGATATCCAGGTGAGCCCGGTAAAGCTGGTACACCTGGAAGGGATGGAGCCCCAGGCCCGATGGGTATTCCAGGACCCAAAGGTCACACCGGAGCTCCAGGCGCAGGATCACCCGGTAAACCAGGTCAGGATGGCAGCCCTGGTATGCCTGGACCAATGGGCGCTAAAGGTCCACAAGGTCCAGCTGGGCAGCCAGGTTCCCCTGGAATGCCAGGTGTTGGCAAAACTGGAGAGCCCGGAACTCCTGGCAGCAGAGGAGCCCCTGGTAGCCCCGGAACTACAGGACAGAAAGGAGAGCCCGGCCCAACTGGTTTCACTGGTCATCCAGGTGCTCCAGGTCCAATTGGCCCAGCTGGCCCACAAGGTGCAAGAGGATTCCAGGGTGAATCAGGCCCACAAGGACCTAAAGGTGACATTGGAATGGTTGGAGCCCCCGGTCCCAGAGGAGCAAAGGGTGAACAAGGAGCTCAAGGATTCACTGGAAAGCCCGGTGTCCCTGGTGCCGTAGGTCCTCCTGGAACCCCAGGTCACAATGGTGCTCAGGGTCCTAAAGGTGCACAGGGTCATTCTGGTTCCCCAGGACAGCCAGGATCTAATGGTGCTCCTGGACCTAAAGGACACACTGGTTCCCCAGGATCTCCTGGAAAACCTGGTGAGCCTGGAAGGCAAGGACCTACGGGCCCAGTTGGTCCATCTGGACCAGCCGGTCCTGCTGGACTTAAAGGGCACCCTGGACTTCCTGGACCTCCTGGTCCTGCTGGTATGACGGCTAAAGGTGTTTCTGGTCCTCAGGGTCCACCAGGAATTCCTGGACCCAGAGGTCAAGATGGTTTTCCAGGACCTGTTGGTCCCCCTGGCCCTCCTGGACCTCCAGGAGAGGTCATTTACCACCATGAGAAAGCCATGCCCATCAAATCCCATGAAGTCGTCATGCCCCATGAGATGATGAAAGCCCCCATGTCTGCTTTCAGTGCAGTACTGACCCATGCCTATCCTGCAGCTCAGACCCCCATCCAGTTCAACCAGGTCCTGTACAATGGGGAGCAGCACTATGATGAGCACAGTGGAGTCTTCACCTGCCAGGTGGCTGGCCTGTACTATTTCAGCTACCACATGCACGTGAATGGAGCCAATGCACTGGTGGCCCTCTACAAGAATGAAGAGCCCCAGGTGTTCAGCTATGATGAGTACAACAAGGGCTTCCTGGACCAGATGTCAGGCAGCGCTGTGCTCATGTTGCAGCCTGGAGACCGTGTCTACATTCAGGTCCCTGATGAGGAGAGCAATGGCATATTTGCCGCTGATAATGTTCACTGTGTTTTCTCTGGCTTCTTGATTGCGTCTACGTGATTTCACAAATTCATCAACACACCTCAAATATTTGATCAAATTGAACTGAAGAGAAAGTAAATCAGTTTACAAACTGATGAGCCCAGAAACGGTTGTCATTTTCACAGATTATCCTAAATTTCTCTTAATGCAACCTTAAAGCCAGGAGAAAGTTTTGAAATGTATGAAAAGAGTTCTATAATGTACAGATTAAATGACCCCTGTCACAGTTTACATGCTGGTCCTTAGAAGGAAGGAATAAGACTCAATGGAGATTTAAGATGGTGCTCTACAACTGCCTGTAACATTTACAGCCTCTGTTCTATGTGTTTTGTTGTTATGTTTGTCTGAAAATTGAACTGTAATATACAGAAGAACATCCTTCACATTCCAAAGCATTTGCACAACCACTGTGAGAAAAATTCAAAATGCATTTTACAATATGCCCTGTTGAATGAGTGCCTCTAAAAGACCAAAAGAAACAATAAAGTTCGAGTTGAAAAAAAAAAAGTAATGTTTTGTGTGTTTCTATACTGGGACATTTTAATTCCAAAAACTGTCTACTACAGAATAGTGTAGTAATGAGAAAGCAAAGTGCAGAGGGTTAACATAGCATAACAGATGATAATTGTAGTGAAAGTAAATCAAATCTGGTTTAACTGTTTTACTCTTTAGTCTGTTTGACTCTTTTACAACAGCTCAAGAACTAACATCTGTTATAATGAGGCAGCACTCAAAAACAGTGGAATTATGACAGGAGAGCAAAGAGCAGAATGAGCCATACCTTTAAAGGCAGAGGTGTTGTAGTTGTGGTCGATGGCAGCTATCATGTCTTTCCAAAAGTCAGCGTTCACCTCTTTTCCTTGCTGCTTACAAAAACAAAAGAGATTTTAAGAAAAACATTTGGTGGAAGTTAGTAGACCCTGTTTGCATGCACAGCACATTTGACTTTCTCTATTCTTTTCCTGCTTTTTCTGATGCTCAAAGTCACTTTACAATTTTGTGCATCAATCATTCAGTCCATACTTAGTGGTTAGCTACTAATGTAGCCACAGTTGCCTTGGGGAAGACTGACAAAAGCAAAGCTGCCAATCTGCACCATCGGCCCCTGCAACCACCATCAACCACCACCAACACTGGCGCACACACCACATTCATACCAGACAATGTGGGTCAAGTGCTTTGCCTAAGAAGACAACGACAGTTTTGCTAATGGTGCTCCACTGTGCCACATTCCCAGTGGTCTCCCATCCTAGAACTTACCAGGCCCAGACCTGCTTAACTTCTGATATCAGACAAGATCAGGCTTTGACAAGGAGGTTTGGCCACAGGAGCATGTCCCTATAATAATTGTGTAAAAGTGCTGATCTTGCAAATGTCCCAATAATCTTTAAATTGGTGTAATGCATGTTTTATTTGGTGATGTGGTATAATCTGGAAAATAGCTGTCATGAAACTTTTAACACATACGTATCTATAAATAACACTAATACCTTCTGATACATGTCAAAAACTCTCCCACAAAGAAGAGCTCCAGGCAGGTCAAAGTAGTTGTCGTAGAAATAATATTTAGCTGCAACACAAAAGAGAATATTTGTATTTGTGAACACAGAAGGGAGCAGGGGATAGTAGGTACAATATGGTGGGGCGTACCAGATCTGGTGAAGGACGTGCTGAGGCTCTCAAAGTGTTTCCATTCCCGCAAGGGACCATAGTGCCGGAGCAGCTCCTCTGTGCTCAGGTCTTTGGTCCCACGTGTCGCTCTATGTCCATCAATGAACAAGGTTAGTTATTGAACTACACCGAAAGGATAATGATAAGGAAGAAATCTATGGACCTTTCAGATATACTGACTTGTAAGTTTCAAGTCAGTATATCTGGATTGTTACGTAAGCACTTTCTTTTATATTAACATGGTGTTGTAGCTGTTTAATCACTCAGTCATCCAGGTATGTTCCATAATTGGTCAATGGGCATATATTAATTTATGTGGTCTTATATTTGTTCCAGTACAACTCACAGTCATTCTAAAGCTGTTTGAAAAAAGTTTATTTCTGTTCTGTGATTTTGGATACTTCTGACAACCCTAGAGCTAACTTGAAGAAATTATGGTCACTTAAAACATAATTGATGTTGCACTGTCTTAAAAAAGAGACAAGCTGTTCTTATTTTTACAACAACCACTCAGTCTCATATAAAAAATAAACAACTACATACCTTAGAACTGTTCCATCTTCTGCCAGTTTCACAAGATTTCCATCTTCCAGATCCACCACAAGGCCTTTGAAACTGAGTAGACACCACATACTTAATATCACAGACAAACAGTAGCACCTGTACTATACTGCTGTATCAAGAAGAGCAGCACCATAATATTTTAATACAAAATTTAAAACTGAGTTTAATGAAGTTAAAAAAAACAAACAAACAAACAAACAAAAAACAACAACTTAGATTAAACCAGAACTAATTAAGTCAGTTACAGGAAATGTTCTGTCATTAAAAATATTCTATGGAAAACTGCAGCATTAAAGTGATATTTATTTTCTTGTTATAATATGAATTGCGTGTTTGTGTTTTTCTAGTATTACAATTGTGATTTATATGGACAGTGTACAGACCAGAAGTCCCAAGTGGCAGGGGTGAGCTCCAGCAGTTCCTTGTCATAGCCTTTGTGTTCTACCAGAAACCGGGTAAAGCTCTCGTAGATCAGCTGTCAAGAACAAACACCAGGTGTGTCATTTGAATTAAAAATATAAATATACAGTAAATAATAATGCGTTTATATACATTTATATACTTTTTACTTACACTCAATGTAAAGTAAAAAGTAATGGGGAATTTTCATGCAATGCCGTATCAAGGACAATTTCAGCAGGATCCTTATTTACTTTCTTTGCGAATAGCTTTATCTCTGTCCTGTCCAGGTTATAATACTCCCTACCCTACAACAGAGGCATGGACTGCCCCACACTACATATTCTCTAAGATGAATGCACTGTAGAGTCCTGATAAACTGGTAACCTATACTTCTCCAGTCCAAAATCCCTGCTTTGCACAATAGCAAAAAGAAAACGACATGCACAATTAAAATTACCCATTGGGGAAATCTTACATGAATGAGATAAAACAAATAATTGCATTAAACATGCACGCCATCATTAAATTTGAAGTCAACGATTTCAACGCAGTCAGAGCTGCATGGCCCTGTGCTAAACTTTTGGTTACTGACTGCAGTGAGCAGCCTTCCTTGCATTTTCAATGTAATTTCCAGTGCAAGAAAGTGAGGAAAGTAAGCATTTATTTGAACTTCAATTTTGATTTATCCATTTTTTGCCAAGTCCTACTGGAATAGGACAAAGGTAAGAACATTTACCAGTTTTGTGTAACTCCCAAATAAGAATTTATACAGCTACAATAAACCATGTAATAATTGCATATACAAATGCAATAAACTATGTAATAATGGCTTATACGAATGCAATAAACTATAGTGACATTATCAGTAAAAGAGACTATAAACAATAGTCCTGGTGCATATGCCTTCTAGTGAACACATCTGTGCAAGACTTTGATTTGCATAAATTTGACACACCTCACACAAACCCCAACCAGCTATTACATTTGGATACAGAGCAAACGGTGCGTGCATCATGCGTAAATCAATACCTACAGGCTGTGTTACAATCACAAAACCCAGCCAGCGTTACAGTAGCCTGAACACTGTACACAACGCCACTGACACGGGGAAGTGTTGGGCCTTTCAGGCAGTCCCGTGAATCATGAATTAACACATCAGCAGCATTTGCTGGCTAAAGACAATATCCTCTATCACTGTGCACGGCCGGGCATGGACCACGGTACTCAGGAAGACCCGGGCTGCTCGTCCTGATGCTGCCGCGTTCCAGATGTGAGGATCTGCTGGTTTATTGTCCACACACACACACGCGCGCACACACACACACACACACACACACACACACACACACACACGCCCCCTGCACATCCCACTCACCCTGGACGTCTCCTTCAGATGGTACCGGCACAACGTGTGGTCCAGGTCGAAGCCGATCACGTCGCAGTCGGAGAGGCAGAAGTAGTCGCCCATGATCGCAGACGAGGCTGTCTAATAACGGACATGCACCCAACACCTCAACACCGCGCTGTCAATGTCACAGCTGACGGAGCGCTGCGGTCAGAGCCTGTACTACCCGGCCAACGCTCACTCTCTCTGGGGCTGGGGGCTGCGGGTTGATGGATTACTGCAGGTTATCGGGCGGTAAACCAAAACGAAAGCTCCATAAGACGGACGCACCAGCAAAACGCATGTGCTGTGTGTCAGTGCGCGCCACTGGAGAGCGCGGTAGAGAGGCGCGCGGGGCTACCGTGCTTCCGGGTATGAGACCGTAATGTGTGATGTAAGTGAGCACATGGCATCTGAGCGCAACTTGATATGAAGCATATAGTAGACTTGAGAGCCCAGGTTATAAACAGTGTACAGCGTTTCCACAGCGCAGTCATTTTAGGATAGAATTGCAATAACGCAAAACATTTTGAAATAAATGCACAAAGATTTCTGTAATTGCTTGACACTGGTAAATAACAATGACAATAAATAACAATAACAATAAAAATACCCCGTCCATGGGTGCAGTTTTATTTGTGGTAATTTAACTGCATTTTTCTATTAACAGCTTATAAATCTCGCGCATCAAGCATATGGGCATATGGATATGACAGAGGAGAAATTAAATTTGTCAACTGACAAATTTAATTTCTCCTTTGTCATGGATTCTACTTGGACGACTGGGGGAATCTACTCACATATGGCTATGAGTGGGCATACACAAATTACCCCCAGACCTTGATAATTTATGCGTAGCTACTATAGGAGCCTGTAGTTAAAAAATAGCTCATTATACAGTACAGTATACAGTATTGCAATATGAGCGAGTGTTCACCAGGTGGCGCTGTTTTACACAAAGTCGCACGAGGTGGTTCGGTTCCTCATTCCTCGCAGGTGCATCTGATTGGCCCAGGTGATTGGACTTCACCTGGCCCGGAGCCCGGGGTGATCACACAAGGAAACAGTTCATGTGAAGCTGGCGCTCAGATGAACCGCACCGTGACTGTGCGTAACTGACTGCTCTGATTTTCTCACAATGATCAGCTCTGACTGAGTTCTACCATGGAGCTCCAGAAAAGGTTATCCGCATGTTGGGATCGCTTTCTGTCGTGTTTTAGAAAACCTGAACAGTCCGAGACGGATGGATCCAAAAAGAATACTGGCACTACTTTTTTCACTAATCCGCCCAAGGACCCGGACTCAAAGCCCAACCCGACCGTCCCGCAAACCTGGGCCCCGGTGTCTTCACGAAACCAGTACGTAGCCCTTTACGACTACTCGGCCCGGACGGCAGACGACCTGAGTTTCAACACCGGGGATAAACTCGAAGCAATCAACAAAGACGCAGGGGAATGGTGGTTTGCCAAAGCTCTCACCGGGATCTCGACCAATAGAACGGGCTACATTCCTGCCAATTATGTGGCCCCTGTGGAGAGCATCGACGCAGAACCGTGAGTAGCCTGTGTGCCTAATAGCTGTGTTTTCCATAAACACAATGTTTAAAATGCACAAATGTCGTCCGTTATAAGAGTTCTTGAAACAAAATTGGCATGAAAATTCTTTCTTGGGTATAAGACTGTATATTTTGCGTCGATAACTATTTACTTAGCATTTTAAAGCATTTTAAAATGGTATATTTTTTCCTGCAACTTACATTTGACTTTTTACGCCTGTGCTATTAGGCCTATCAGTTTGGAAGATGCCTAAATAACAGTGCTCTCACCACTCCCCAGTTGAAACCCGAATAAACCAATGGGCCTAAATCTCCCGAGGAATAATAATAATCCCTGAGCTGACAGTGTTGTGACTGCCAAGACGAGTCTGGTTAATAATTGCCTCAAACCAGGAAATGTCTTTGTGGGTTAATAATTCCCACAAGGAATCTGCGTGTGTCTCTGTGTGTGTGTGTGTCTCTGTGTGTGTGTGTGTCTCTGTGTGTGTGTGTGTCTGTGTGTCTCTGTGTGTGTGTGTGTCTCTGTGTGTGTGTGTGTGTGTCTCTGTGTGTGTCTCTGTCTCTCTGTGTGTGTGTGTCTCTGTGTGTGTGTCTCTGTGTGTGTGTCTCTGTGTGTGTGTCTCTGTGTGTGGTGAGATAGCGCTGGTTAAAATCTGACAAACTTTAGCTGCATTTAGCAATCAGGCCTCTTGACTGGAAAGCATGCGAGAAATACTTCCGTGTAGAGGGAAGTATTGACCTTATTATTGTTATCCCATAGGTTTTACATGGCATTACTCTAGTCCAAATAGAGTAATGCAGGAAATATATTGTAATATAGATTTACTATATTATAAAATATTCATTATTGACAATTATACAATAATGTATTATTAATAATCAATGTGGTAAAAGTGATGCACATGACCCAAATATATGAAGAACATTTTGGATTAGTTTTAGATGATATACAAAAGGATACACACATGCCAATCTTTCAAAATACTCATCTTCTATCAACCTAGCTGACTGTTTTCAGTGCTAGTGTTAACTCACTATTTAAGATGTTGATGTTCTGATGACTTTTAACCATACTTATAGCGTGGCTCTTTATTAGTTGCTTTTGATCTGCCATTCAAAGATCTTGTTAAAGTCTTGTCTTGCTTTTCATTTCCCTATTGTATATTCATTGATAAATACACAACACATTAAACACTCTAGTCCTGACCTTTGACCTGGTCAATAACATCTGTCTGAAACATGACTCCTGGTGTGCTGCCAAAAATGTTTTAACTGATTTGACAGGTACTCTTCTATCAAATGTAGTAATTGAGAGCAGGATAGTATTAAAAACAGCTCTAGGGTCCTTTCCATTTGTAGTTGTGCACTTTGCATTACAGTGAATTGAACCAGGTATTTATGTCACTGTTCAGGTTAAGTCATGTGACACACTGAATGCTACTCGCTCACCCAGTTCTAGTCATGCCTCAGCTTTTCTTGTTGTCATATAAATACCTCCTGTCAACTTATTGTTGCCGTCCAAGTTTCGGTAGCTTCCTGATTGTGATGTAAAAGTGGCTCACATCGTCACCCACGGTTCCCCTGGGTGCTCTGTCACTGACAAACCTTAACTCTCAGTAACTCAACCAGGACTGTGTCCCAGCAGCAGCTCTCATCACTTTTGGGAAACTGTATAGGTGACCTGTTTTTACACCTAAGGCAGAGGAGATAATCTAATCATGAAACATCTATCCAGAAGCTCAGGCAAAACTATTCTGCTCTTTTCTGAGGGTAAATGACAGGCTGCCTTGAGGGCTGTATCTGTGAGGGAAAAGTGGTATAATGAACCACAGAACTTAACTCTAAGCTGTCATTGTAGCTTTTGATTAAACTGCATTTATCTACTTAGGAAATCCCCAGGTCACAGTAGCTAATTTTAGAAGCACACAGGAGGCCTATACTTCAAATGGCAGCAGAAAATATGTGAACATAAAAAAAAAATATCAGGTGAATGTTCACAATTTCAGTGCAATTTAGTTGTGGGACATATATTTTGAAAGGAAATAAATGAAAAATTACTACAAAACACAGCAAACTTGTGTGAGCACAAAAAGCTTTTATTATGTGTACAGATGTTTAACAGAGTTTAACAGAAGCTCATATGCCGGTGTATCTGATGCTAAATCTAGACAGTTCTTCTTCTGAGTTTAAGTGGCAAGCAGAGAATCTTTTTGTCAGTGCCCCATGACTAAAATGTTTTATTATTTGGTTTGTTTGGATTTGATTGAACAAAGTGATATGAACATTGTTCAACAGCATCACTGATGGATGACTATGCAATTATGGAAAATATTGCACTGTAACAATGTATAATTTAATGCAACATAGTCACCCATATTCACTGCTTTGCAGCTGGTACTTTCTGGACACCAAAAGACTGGATGCAGAGAAGATGCTTCTAGCTGAAGGCAACAGTCAAGGAGCCTTCCTCATCCGCAATTGTGAGAGTCAGAAAGGAGAGCTGTCCCTCTCAGGTAAGTCCACTGCAGCTTCATCTGACCCCTGGAATCTGTGGAGCCATATTTAGTCCTATGATTTAGTTCTTCAAGCCCCTATAGGACAAAATAGAATATTTTATTAGAGGTCTTGAGTTATGTGACAAATTGTGTGGTAAAACCTGATCAACACATTCCTCAGATGCATGAAACAAGGCTTAAAATAGTTGGTTATTCCACAATTTCAGGTTTGTCTTGTGTAGGAGATCAGATCTACAAAATTCCATGAATGTGTGCAGATTAATTTGTAAATGGAATACAATACAGCTAGACTTTGAACTTCGTGATATATTTTTTTTTCCGTCAACATTGTGATGAATATTATTCCAGTACATCAATGTGACTGTTGTTTGATAAGTGGCCTATAGTACTCATAAAGACCAGATAACACCCGCGGACCTCTGCTCTCGCTCGTACTTTCCATTGCCATATTCTTTTAATTATCCTCATATGTCATAGTTTCTCACTGTCGTCATCTTAAAAATGCATGAAATAAAAAAAACTACTCTAGATTGTTTTTGAGCCTTCAAACAGGTTAATTGTTTTTGACCAAAGTCATTGGTTTATGCAGGATGCACAAAATATCCATAAAATGTCTATTTCAATGATTTACTGAATCATGAACTGAAAATAATCCTGTTTTCCAGGGAAGTAGGTGGTGATGTTTGGTCCATAGTCTCCTAATGTTTCATGTGTTGTATTCTTTGTAGTGCTGGACCATGGACGTGTGAAGCACTACAAACTCAGAAAACTAGAGAATGGTCACTATTTTGTGTCCCGGACCAAATCCTTTGAAACTTTGAAGGAGCTAGTGGAGTGGTACACTGTGCAGGCTGACGGCCTGTGTGTTCGTCTGGGAGAGCCGTGCAAAAAGGTCTGCACTGAACAAATTCAGTATAAAATGTGAAATCAAATGTATGACATTATATGCCATTGAACTGTTGTGGTGTTATGTTCAGTTAGAGGCTCCTACGACATATGGTTTGTCATACAACACAGTGGACACATGGGAGATCCCGCGCAGCTCCATAAAGCTGGGGAGGAAGCTGGGAGCAGGACAGTTTGGAGAGGTGTACGAGGGCCTTTGGAATGACACGACCGCTGTGGCTGTCAAGACCCTTAAACCTGGTAAACTGGTTTCTCATTTGTTTAGAAATTACTTTGTATTGGAATACGCACAAAGAAATGCACATTTTGTGAATGATAAAGGCAGAAATTGCACAATGATCCAACTAAGAAGAGAAGGCATCATAAACATGGCCACAAAATCAATTATATACACTGGTGTTAATAAATTATAACCCCCATAAATTCAATGTAATTATGTGGGAAGCTGTGGTACGAACATGTGCTGGTAAACTGGTGAGTCATTTATGGCACGAAAGCTTGTATGCTTTTAACTGGATGGGTATTTTGAAGTCTTAAGAAGTTATTCTCACTGGCACTGTTTAAGATTGTACAGTTTGACTCTTGACCATTATTATCAATGGTGCACCTTTAGTATGTTAAACACACTTTGTTAGCTGGAGATTAATAAGCAGAGTACAGGTCTCTGGTCTTTATGAGAGAGGTTTATAGATTTCACATGTCAAAAATGCGCAGCCCCATTACACTTGCTTTGTCTGGTTGAAGTTCTGATTACATTCTGTGCACTTTGTCAGCTTTATTGTTGTGTACACAGTGGTTTTATCCTGTGTCTGCTGACAGGCTCCATGGACCCCGGTGACTTCCTGAGAGAGGCTCAGTTCATGAAGAGGCTGCGACATGCCAAACTGATTCAGCTGTATGCCGTGTGCACCATGGAGGAACCCATCTTCATCATCACAGAGCTCATGAGGCACGGGAGTTTGCTGGAGTATCTGCAGAGTAAGGACATGCCTCCTCTCTCCACTCATATTGTAATTGGTTATACCACATTTACAGTCTAGTAGTTGCTCATTCACTTATATGACTTTTATAAAGTGCTGCTGACGGGAAGAAACTAAATGACAGGGGAATGTGATACCGGAGAAACTGTGGGTAATAGTGGTTTACTGGTAATTTAAAATGCCATCATGTGATTGTACAATGTGATGTTGAGCTGATCAAATCAAATGTTGATTCAGATTTTTTTAATTATGTAGTAGAAATGCTTAACCCTGATATCCCAAGTCCAAACAATGAGCATACCCATGTCAGCAAGAGATCAGACGGATGAACAATAATGGTGGTGTGGGCTTTGTCTTGACAGTGGACAAGGGCAATGATCTAGGCCTGTCAGACCAGATCGAGATGGCGGCTCAGGTGGCGTCAGGGATGGCCTATCTAGAGCAGCAGAACTACATTCACAGAGACCTGGCAGCCCGCAACGTGCTTGTAGGAGAGAACAACATCTGCAAGGTGGCAGACTTTGGCCTCGCCAGGGTCTTCATGGTGAGTTTAACTCCATGCACAACACTTTTTAGAACCTTGTATAATGTATATTGTATTAGTACTGGTCCTCACTTTCAATGATTGAGTTGGATTAGCTGCTTGAATTCTGTAAGGAGTTAGTGTCTCTCTGGATTGTACTATGTTGGAGAGTATAGAAGTAAAAATTCTGTTTTTTATATATACATTAAACAATTCTCTTAAATTGTTTTCAGTATCTGATGCTGAAAGCATTTGCCATGGAGAGAAAGGCTTGTTCTTCAGATAGTTTATATGAGCAGAGAACAGTTGCACTTAAAACCTACTAACGCAGAATTATATGTGTGTGTATATGTGTGTGCACACAAATACAGGACAAGGTCCTTGTAGAATAACATACCTTTTGTAAAGTGTCTTCATTTCCCTGTTGGCTCTTGAATGTGGAATTTCTTTTAAGTTAAAAACTGTTTATATCTAAATGTGCGTTTGCTTCCTGTTGTAGAAAGAAAATGAAAATGTGTATGAAGCAAAGGAAGGGGGAAAGTTCCCAGTGAAGTGGACTGCTCCTGAAGCCATTCACAACGGTATATTCAGCATCAAATCAGATGTCTGGTCCTTTGGCATTCTGCTCTATGAGATCATGACATTTGGCCAAACGCCTTATCCAGGTAAGCTCTTAACTGAGTGTTTGTTTGATTGATTCTATTTAAAGTTTAACCATTTTGTCCATGGTTTTGTCCTACAGCCATGACCAACTACCAGGTTGTGCAGAGGATCGTGGAGGGCTACAGGATGCCACCCCCAGCAAACTGCCCCAAACACATGTATGGGATCATGTCAGACTGCTGGAAGAAGGAGCCTCAGGACAGACCCACCTTTGAGACCCTTCAGTGGAAGCTCGAGGACTTTGAACTGGATACCACCTCATATGATGATGCAAACCGCTATCACTCCTAAACATTTGGTATTAGTTTACATAACAAAAATCAGCAACACAATCTCAAAGATGGATATGACTGGATGTTTAATCGTTGTCCACAAATGAAGGACACTGTCATTTTGACGCCAATACTGTGATACTATTACTAAGATGAAGACTGTTTTCGCACTACATGGCACTTCAGAGCCACAAGGCAATAATTAACCCACAACAAAATCTCAGCAATGATGGTGGATAGTCTGTTTGTGGACTCGGCAAGTACTGATCCATTGTATATTTTCACTTGTAAATGCACTCACAGGAGGCCTAGCAAAGACTGCACTTGTGACCTCCTCCTTACAGGAAGACACTGCTTGGAGCTGAGATGTGAACTACCATCTGGATGAACCGGTTCTTCACCTAGCATACTGCTCATATTTTCCACTCCTGACATAACATTCCACTCTGGTCATGTGTTTATCGGTGCGTAATAGGATGGTATTAAACATTTTACTAAATGAAGGAAATTATGGATTCTATTTAAAATATATAAAAATTTAAACTACCTGCTTCAGGAGATTTTCAACTGACCATGTTTTACTACTTTGTGAAAACAGTTAAAATCCTAAAAATATGAAGTTTTTATGAGAAATTACAATGTTTTTCTTTGACAAATAATTGTACATTTTAACCATGTCAGTGTTTTTATATAATTATTATACAATTGTACATTTTAACACTTAACTAATTAAACTGATTTTGTGGTCAATGGAGGTATGTGTTTTTTATTACATGTACTGTACCATGTTCTTACTGCTGTGTGAAAGGTCTGCCTGACCCTGAACTCACTGAGAGAACATGGAGAACATGATACTTAATTTAATTGTGCTGTTAAAGCTGCCTTGTGTAATTACATTTGGACAGTGTTTTTGTGAGGTATCACTTATGACACACTACACAGTATTACCAGTAGAGGGTGCTGTGTGGTCAGTGATTGGCTCTGTTGTTAATGGATAAATTGAACATAAGCCTACGATGACAGGTTAAACTACTCACTTCACTAAAGCATAGGCAAATACATTAACTATACAGTCAGATGCCTATAGCAACCATATGGTTAAGAAGTGCCAAAAGTTGTTTAAATTGAACAACTGATTACCTAAGTGGCACGGTTGATGAAATGGAGGTATTATTTTTGGAACTTGTCAATATTTCCTGTATTTCTGTACTTTTCTTAACCTTTTTTCCCTCAAAATGTCACTTGATTTTATATCTACAATAAATATAACATGCAGTATTCACTGAACCAATTAATTAAAAAAATCTGAACCTTTCATATGTACTACATTCGACAGGGTTCTACTAGAATCACTCCTTCAGAAGTACTGTAGTATTTTATCAAAACATGCTCAAAGATCTCAGAGCATAACAATGGTTCTCCAATTATGAAATTAAGAAAGGCCTTGACAACAGTGAATCTAAAATGGATGTATCACTATTTAAGCCCTCTAATGTAATTAGCGTATTATGAACAAACAAATGTTACTGGACATACCAAATGAAGTGCTGAAAGATACGGTGACCAATCTCTCAGAAATGATGGATCATTTGTTATGCTACAGACCTCTGTCTTTCAGGCTTCTGGAAATCATAAAGGCGGTCATCCATCAGAGCAGCATCGGTGTCCCAGCTCCTGAATATACGATTACAAGGCTTTGGCTCCATCTATCTGCATAGCTCATATTCAGCAGTGTGGACCAGTCTGCTCCTCAAACTGTGGTCCCCCTCCTTCTAAACGATCAATCCTGCTCTCACTCATTCCACTTCATTGTCTCTTTATTTCAGCACTTTCCTGCATGGGGGAGCGTGATGGATTTGCCTTTAGAGAGGAGCAGACAGGGAAGTTGGGGGGCTAGGCAAAGTGTTTGGGAGTGTAGCATAAACCCTGACACAGACAAATGGCCCGACCCATTGGGACGCTGCATCTTTCAGCAGCTTCCTCTCTCACCAGTGTCCCACTGGGGGTTTTGTCCGCTCTGACAATTTGTTTAAAGTACAACTGTGCCTTAAGCTTCTAGAATACTCAACTATAACGGCTCATAATAATGCATCAGTATCATATGGCACTTTTTGCACATCAGTGTTTCTATTATGCATTATTCATTAATTCTCCACTCTGCGGCGGTAAGCTCCTTCAGCCACAAGTGACCAGGGGCTGACTTAGAGTCTTGGCTGCCAATATGGGCCAACAGCATCTCCAAACACCACCAATCACTTTCTCATAAGCCACACAAGGTGTCTTGGCAAAGGGCACACAAACACTAGGCTATGGATTGCTCTGAGCTGCAGACAATATCAGCTGAGCCACTTGCTAAAGCCCTGACAGACACTTTCAGCATGCATGAACTATTAATATGACCGGATTGTCTGCTGTTTGAGAAAATCATTTCATTAGTTACACAACACAAAATTGCAATCTGTTCAGAGTGTCCCACAAAGTCAAATGGCCTCATGGTGTCATAAACTTTTTGTTGAACATAAAGAAAATGTCTGGTTGTTTTATACATTTTTGGAGCTACAGTCCATAAAAATAAGGATATAGATGAAAAGGCATGAGACAGTCTGGAAGTGCATCTATCTATGGGTACTGATCATTCAACCCTGGCAATGTCCACATGAAGATGGCTAATGAAGTACTATATTTAACGACAGTGAAGCATCAGACGACTAAACATGAGACTATATGGCTTCTCCAGATTTGATTAAGACTGTGACAAACCTGACACTACAGTTTGACCCAGTAAACATCAGTGAGGGGTAAAATGCTTTTTAAAGGAGTTGCATCTGTATGTTAATGGCTTCCAGTTCTAATCAGACATAATTCCTTTGCCTCACACCCTTCCTTAAACAATGCTGGTGTGTGCACAATACAGGGAGATGAGGAGGCTTACTTCACACACCAATAAACCACTGAGCCTGACCACTCCACCCAAGAACATGGAAGCACATAAATATTATATGTGTGTGATGTCAAATGCCTGCATGGTTCATAGTGGAAAAAACTAAAAGACAGAACCTTTTCTGCTTGCTCATATGCAAGCTTCTTTGAAACTTTGAAGTGTCTTGCTCAAGGTAAGATATATCACCAGCAGCAACCTTTGTGGGCATCTCTACCGACTGCACTACAGCCACCAAATTGCTTGTCACTTCCAGCGCCCTGAAAAGGTTGCCAGGTTGATTTCTTTGTGCATTTGATGATTATCGTATCTCATCGAACTCTTATCAGTTTTTGCATCTCTACCTGACCTTTGGCGCAGTCTTCAGAACTATTTATTTGAGCAGGTTTCGCCTTGGCCTTGTCGAGAGCTTCAGGGACAGCGAGAAGATGATGAATGCCCTGCTTTGTTCTGCCTGAAAAAGCCCCATTCATCCGGAGATCAGCCGAGGAGAGCACTGACAATACACGAGGAATAAATAAGACTCGCGCCGCATTGTCATATCGCCAGCGTTTGACAATAAAACCGCTTGATTCATTATACTCACAACAGTGGCATGCAGATTGCTTCAAAGTAATACCGCTACAATGGGGCTCAGGAAATGCCTGGAAAGTGCAGCATCTCCTTTCTGCCTTAGTTTCTCTTTTAACATCACAAACAAAAATGATCTAAAATGCTACAGACGTGAAATGAATAAAAAAGTTTGCATTGTGTCATTACAAAGGAAACCAGACCTATACTTTTTGCTTTCCTCCACTGAAACTAGTTATAAGTGCACTTAGGTGCGGAAGGTACGCCTTCTGCTTGTCTCCATGGAAATGTTATTGCATTGCCTGGAATCTTCCAAAGTAGGGCTTTTAATTTATCAGTGTAATTAATCTCCATTGTTACAGATCAAATCGCTGTGCTGGGGTGCTGTGGACAGATCACTGGGACCAAAGGTGTGTGGACTTTGGTTCCTAAAGCACAAATATAAAAAAAGGAAGTACAAGAGAACAAGGGACAATAACTATGCACCTTTTTGCAGATATTTTGAGCAATAAAAACACCTGAGTGTGATACAAATGTGACTTAGACACACAGTGGAAATGTTGCAGCAGCAGCAATTGCAACAGTTTGGTGCAGCAAAACTTGAATTTCCCTCTGGATCAATAAAGCATCTCTTGCTCTCTCACTCTCTGAAGGTACATGGTTCAACTCTGACCAAGCACATACTGTCATTTTACTACTGAACCAGACATAAGATAAGACATGGTGTGTAGCATGAAATTGTCATATAAATGCAATTGACTGACTGGTAGTTTGGATATATAAAAAAAGAAAAACTTTTTAGCTCATAACTATAAGAATAAAGAAAGATGTGACAGCACTGGTTTGATGAAGCAGTGACCGGGGGCTTGTTGGCAGGCTCTGGTACATTCGACAGCCCTGTACAGATGTGCTGTGTCTTCTGGAGGTCACCCCGGGGTGCACCAGCTGTCTGCCGCTGCTCTGCCACCCACATCTAAGGCACCCAGACCCGGCCAAATGATCCGAGCCCCGGGCCACAGGCTCAAATGTCAAGTACAACCAAGTCAGAGAATGTTTTGATGACTTTTTAATGACTCTTTGCAGACGGGTTGGGTTAAATATATTCATTGTTTTGTTGTCGTGTAATGTAGTTGTTCTGCCCTCTCCACACTCACTCAAAAACACTTACAAATATTTGTGATCTTTATTTCTGCAATATATATTTTTCTGATTCTACTGCCAAGCTATATGGTGTGAAATCAACTCTTATGAGCTTTGACTCATGTCATAACTTTATATACAGTAATCCAGTATAGTCCTGCATTTGAGGCTGCTCAGAAAATGTCGGTTTCACCTACCTGCTAACTCTTGCCTGTAAATCTGTATTATTATTATTATTATTATTATTATTATTATTATTATTATTATTATTATTATTATTATTATTATTATTTTATACACATCAAGAATAGTCTGGTCCCCATGCCCTCTGTCAAATCTCAAGCCTGGTCAAATGTGATTGTGCAGTCAGATTTGTCTTATTTCAGTAATGAATGTGGAATGAAGGAGCTCACTGGTGTCCTATGATCTACAAATAAAATCAGTTGTATCTCACCTCAAATGAACCGTTTAATGCTGCACTGATTCTGTAGAAATTCACACTGTTTTTCAGTTCCCTGTGATATTTTTACTTGCGTGTCTCTGAATGGTTAATCCTCCTGTCAGTCATATCCATTTGAAAACTGGGAGATTCACCAGTGATCAGACTCACATCTTCATAAAGTATTGAAGACGTCTGGATCCCATTACAATTCTATCCCTGTCTGCTTCTCTGTACTTGCGAATAAAAAAAATAAAAAAATAAATAAAAATCTGTCTGTGAGCCACACTTGCAGAGTTCAAAAATGTCACAAAACATTAATAAAAATATCCAAATCAATTCACCAATTTTGAACTCATAGTCAATGGACATTTTTCTATTATTAAGTCAATATTACAATGTTATAATGAATGAGTGAATGACCTTTAAGTTTAGTGTGACCTGAACCAGAACAGTTGGGTTTTGTTTTGACTAAATGCTTCGAACAGGGACAGGTTCACTTTATGGTCCTATTTCGGGCTCTCCTGGCTGTGCTGCATTAGCCTGCACTGTCACTTTACACACACATGAGAGAGTCTCGGTCTGTGTGTGTGGGGCTAAAAGAAGGAGCATCATTTCTCCTCCTTATAAATATATCAACAGACAGAAAACCTCCTGAAGCTC